TGTGTCTTTCACCTGATCCTTGTGGATAAAACATCTGGGTGCAGGTAGAAATGATGGTACAAAAGGTGAAGTCATGCCTACTGGAACAGGAAACTTCAAGTTTGTAATGGTTGAAGGGAGAACAACTTTGATGCTTGAGTTGGAAACACTTTAGATTTCAGGATGTACAAAGAAGGAAGAACATTATTGATCTTTGTCTTTCAGAATCACCCCTAGATCATTTCCCACTGGTGTGGCTCTTCAAGCTGGTCATGCTTCTTCAATTTAACTGATCACTGGATCTGCTCTTCTCCACTGGAGAGCTCCTGCCCCTATGAGATTGCCATTTCCCTTAACCTCACCTTGTTTCCCCTTTCACACATACAATACCTATAAAGCCCATTTATGAGACTCAGCCATTCCATGGAGTGAATGGATGTTGCCTAGTTGGCAGCATAAACAAATGGGCCATGTCCCTTTAGGCAGTTCCCTCCAAAAACAAGGACTAGACTCAATTATTTGAACTGAGCAGGAAACCTAAGGCCAAACAGCTAGCCACAATGCTCTATTACAGACGCCATTAACTTGCATCCTTGACAGATATGAATCTCACTTTGGAGTCTCAATGATTGTAAGCAATATATTCTTTCTAGTAGCCACGTACTTCCTGGAACTCATGTGGAAGCCAGGCATCAATTTGCCTTCCTCCTGAGAACACAGTGACCTTCACTTTAAAGATGATCATTAAAGAGAACCTCAAGGGTTTAAGAGATTTCTACTAATACATCATTTAGCCTCAAATGACTGTAGAGATATCACCTAATGGGCATATCCTGGTTTGCTTGGGAGGAGTTTCCCAGAGGGATAACTTACTTATTATTTATGTGCATTATGCAGTCATCCCTAAGATGAACCCATCTAATTAGAAAAGGTAGTATAAAATTTGTTCCTGATCTTAACTGAAGTGATCAGTAGCACCACCTAGAATCTGGAAGACATTCAGACAAATCTCAACTCAGTGGCCAGGGTTGTTAATGGATAATCGAATTCAGCCTTCTTCTTTGCAAGCCAAGGCAGTCTGTGCAATCACTAATGTATGCTGCTGTGCCTGGAGCAATGCCTTGGATGAAGGAGGAAGGTTAATATAGAAACAATGACAAAGTTGCCTGGTTTTCTTAGACCCTTACAATTTATGGGAATTGTTCAGCTGGTTGGGTCTGGGACACTGGGAGCATGATTGTGATCAATACTGGTTTGCTTCCTCCTGCTGCTTGGAGTCTTATTAATAGTAGTCACAATTAAATGTTGTATGAAACAAATGGAAAGGATTTGAGTCCTCGTTGGGGGTCAGATTAATCACAATTACCGACAAAGTAGAGTATCATAGGGTAATTCACCAGAAGCCAGGACAGTGTAAAAATATAGGGTGGGTATCACTGGTAAACAATTCTCCATGGTTCTCTCGTGTTTCTGCATGCCTGACAGGCAAGGCAGTTGCAGGGAAGGCCCTATGTTCTAAACTATCTTTTCATGGATGTTTGTATAGCAAACATATCTCTATCTATATTTGTTTATATAGCAAAATCCTTGGAATACAGGAATAGTGCTATTGTCTGGAATAAATAGCATACACACTGCTCACAATAAAGCACTCATAGTTTGCAGCTTCAACCCTCTGCATGTGTAAGTGGCATCTGGTGCTCTTTGGATGGGATGAATGTGCATGTGAGATTTAGATTTCAGAGAACTGACAAAACAGCTCATATTTTGGCTACTGCTATTGCTATAATTAATAAACTGTTTTTCATTTCTGACCCAGAAGTCTTATATCTTTTACCAACATCTCTGAAACTGTTAGCAGGCTAACTCATTAGCTTGCCAGTATGGTAAAATATCAGATCCTCATGGTTCTTGGCAGTATAATATTACTTATATATGACATACCACATAATTATGTAGTTTGTACTACATATTATATAATTATGTATAGAATATAATTCTATGTTTTATACTATCTAAAACATATAATTATATGTACTAGATAATTTTATTTAATTATATATGCTGTATAATTATGGTCCATAACAAGTTAAAAATGTACAAATACACATTACACTTAAAATAACAGTTATAGTTCATAAGCCAACAAAGGATATACAATGAAATTCTAAAAAGTGAAAAGGAAAAAGGAATAAAAGTACAGATGTGACAAATAGAAAAGAAATAGCAAGATGACAAACTTAAATTTACCCCTACCAGTAATCACACTAAATGTAACTGATCTAAACACTGCAGTTAAAAGGCAGAGATAGTCCAATGAATAAAAACACAAGAACTAACTATATGCTGCCTTCAGTAAACACATTTTAAATATCAAAATGCAAATAGATTAAAAGCAAAAGGACAGAAAGAGATATGTTAATAAAAAGAAACTTGTAATGGCTATATTAATATCAGACAAAGCGGATTTCAGAACAAAAGAATATTATTAGAGATAAAAAAGGATATTTCATAAATAAAAAGGGATCAATTAAGAGGACATATCAACACTGAACATTTATGGGCCCCATAATTTTATTTGAAAGAAAATTTCCAAATACATTATAGAACTAAAGGGAAAAATAGATAAGTTTACAGTTATAGTCAGATATAGCAATCTCAATAATGCATAGCAAAAATAGGTAGAAATCAGCAAAGATTGGGAAGACTTGATTAACACTATCAACTGATTTGGACTAATTGCCATTTGTAAGACACTTTATCTAACAATAAGAAACTTTTTGAAGTGCATATGAAAAATCTACCAGGATAAAGAGATATTAAACTTCTTAGAGTATGCATAAATAATCATTAACTGAATGTTGGTGGAAATATGAGCCTTAAAGGCCATTCTGGTGAGGTCTCACAAGGAAATAAGGAACATGTTGTTGGAAACTGCAGGAGAGGTTATCTCTGTCATAATGTGACAAAGAACAGACTGAACTGTCTTCTAGTGTTTTGTGGTGGGTAAAACTTGTGTGAGTGATGAAATTAGATATTTAGCTGAGGAGATTTTTAAGTTAAGTGTTGAAATGGCTTGGTTCCTCCTGATTGCTTACAGTAAAATGCAATAAGGGAGGGGTGAATTGAGGAAGGAATTGTTAAACAAAAGGAAGCAGAACTTCAAAGTTTGGAAAATTCTCAGTCTATTTATATGGCAAAATCTAAAAAGCTTGTTCTAAATAGAAAGCTTGTTTTGACATCTGAACAACAATTTGGGAAGGAGATTATTATGGGTGTGATGCAGGGACCCAGACACCCCAGAACAAACACTGACAATTTAAACTGAAAGCGACAGAGATAGAATGAAATAAAGTAAGGCTGGACTTGTTAGGTACTACAGGACTGGACCATAGAGATATTTGGTTGGAAACACACACTATTCAAGACAAAAAAACAATGACCCTGAATGGGATTCAGAGCTCATTCAGAGTAATGAGTCCAGAGTTTACGGTCTGTGTTTCAGCAGCAACATTTTATTTGATTAGCACTGAGTGAGCTTCTTCACTCCTGTGAGGATATGGTAGTTTCCTTTTTTTATTCTCAACTCATTTTAGAAAAATCAGTCAATAATTAGTGGGTGATCTCCTTTACATAGGAAGTTGATAACAATCAACTAAAATTACACAACTAAATTGTCAACTAATGTGACCATTACATAATGAAAATATTTAATAGTGAAATTTCCAAGACCACCAATGGGCAAAGAAAGCCCATTTTTCAAAGTTAATTAGCAAATGCTTATCGATAATGCTTATTTTCTTAAGCAGATTCAAATGAGATAATTTTAGATGTTTTCTCATTGAGTGAGGCATCATGCAGTGTTTGGGATGAGGAAACAGAACTAATCTGTGTTTTGGGTTGCATAAATGTCAGAGATCAATGAATTGTTAAATAAAGGCATTCCACTTGGGAATGACTCATTTAATCTTGGTTCTGCCCTTCATGTGAAAATGGAACATTCAGAGAAGCCTTATTTGCTATTGAATATCTTTCTCTATAAAATTAGAAACAAGTAACTAAGCCAAGGCTAGGTTTTGTGTCAATCAAATGAATGGGCCTGTAGATGAAGCTTTGCATTAGGATTCTGACACCCCTGGCACAGAGATGGATTTGTCCACTTTCATTCAATAAATAATTCTCCTGGAAAAAAACTGTGGCTTCTTCATGGGTAGAATAACTCAACTTTGTAAAGTTCTCCTCAAGTTAATCCATAAATGTAATGCAATTCCAACAACCTTTTAACCAGTTAAATAGATTGTAAACATCATGTGAAAAAAAGTATAAGTAAGAATGGCCAGGAATAACTAAAAAAAACAACAACAGTCCAAGAGGATTATCTCTGTTCTATATCAAAACATATTTTAAAGCTATCAAAACATATTTTAAAGCTACCAAAATTAAAACAACATGGTATTGGCACTTATATAGGAAAACCAATAAATAAAACAGAAAGTTCAGAAACACTACATATTAGTAATTTAGTAGATGATATAGGTGAAATTTTAATACAGTGAAATAAAATAGGGACTACTGAGTTAATGGTTTTGGGCCATCTTTATAATTATCTGGGAAAAGACTGAATTCCCATCTTACATATTATATACACCGAAATCTACAGATTGATTACAATTCAGGTGTTCAAAATGGGAATTAAAAGTATTATGAAAGTATGTAAGATTCAGAAAATTTAAATAGAGAAATATTTTCTAATAATGAATAAAACCATTAAAAGCTGGTAACATTTTTGACAAAACAATTGCATTGCAAAAAAATTTTAAACAAAGAACACAAAAGCAGAAAGGGTCAATTTCATATATATATATATATATATATATATATATATATGTACATATAAGCATATATATATATATTTATATGAAGATCAAAACCCAATGGGAAAAGAAAAAAGATATGAAAGAATAATTTATTTATTTATTTTCTTTCTTTCTGTTTTTTTTTTTTTTTTTTTTTTTTGGTAGAGACAAGGTTTCACCATATTGTCCAGGCAGATCCTGAACTCCTGGGCTAAAGCAGTCCCCTGCCTCAGCCACTCAAAATGCTGGAATTACAGATGTGAGCCACTGTGCCTGATCCCAAAAAGGTAATTTATAATAAAGAAGATATAAATGATTGTTCTCAAATGAAACAAAATGGTGTTCAACTTTATTTATAATAATGGAAATAGTAATTAAAATAATAATGATACATAATTGACATCTATTTTTAACCTATAAAATGAGTAATAAATGCTGCATTGGTTAGAATGTAGAGACATAGGTTCTTTCACACATTGTTGGTGGAAATGTAATTTGGTACCATCCTTACACAGGGCAATTTAGCAATGCCTTTTAACAGGCAAGATGCTTGTTAATGCACCTTTTATCTTCTATGAACTTAGGCTCACATTATTATTAACTTGAGGTATACAATGTTTTGTCATATAAACTACTTTTAACTGATTATTACTTTCAATAGCAAAAAACAGCAATTACTTTTGCACCAACCCAATAGTTTGCTCCCAACTTTTTGCTCCTATAAACAGTGCTGTAATATAATCTTTTAAAATAACTCTACATACTTGTGGTATTATTTCTGAAAGACAGAGTCCTATAAGAAAAATTGTTGAACCATTTCTAGCTTCTCTGAGTAGGCCTGGGAAAAGAAACTTAAAATTAAAGGCCGATGATAGATGCCATTAGTAAAAAAGAATCTCCTGTCCTTTCCAATCACTTCTGCCTACTTTTCTGGCTAGTTTCTGCACCTGCCTTCAAAAGTTCACGTTTTCATTACAGGTTTTCTTAATTTGCCTCTATCTCTGCACTGTCATGGCTACTACTCACAGCAGTTACCTTCATAAAAAATAGCCACAGTTACTTAGGACTTTACCTTATTATAATTTTTCTTTATAAATGGATTTCCATTTGTTGTATCTAATTTTTCTTAGTGGAGACAGAAGAGGTCTGCTCAGAGCAGCTTAACGAAGCCATCTGTGTGTATGGAAAAGCAGAGACAATTAAAACCTGTTGACAACTTTGGGTAAAGCTGTGGGCCTCATGTTCCATAATTTATGTGAGAAGCTGAAGCACAATCAGTTCAAGCTGGTTTTTGAAAGAGGCACAGTCTGTAATACACTTTTGGCAGGTCAGCATCTTTGCACTACAGCAAAGAGGTATCTGAGTCCAAAGAATTCTGAGATGTCCAGTAGGAGTCCATGAACAGGGCCCACGAAAACAAACACGCACAATTGCTGCAAAGAGAAGAGCAGAGATGCTGGTGGTTTTTTCCCAGTTTTCCATCTAACTTTATTTCTCTCTTACCAGACAAGCATACTGCATAGTGCTTTGTCCCACTGTTCAGTGCAGTTGTTATATCAGAAATGTCCAAACATTGTCAGCAGAGATACACAGGTGGCTAAGTGCTTGGGGAGGCAGTGGTGTGTGGAAAGGACTTTGTCTTTCTGCCACTCAGACTTGTGTTTTAATCTTAGCTGCGTCATCTCCCAGCTGGACTACCTTGGGCAACTCTCTTTTTCCTACTTTTTAAAGGGGAGAAAACAATACCTGGCTTACAGGACTGATGTGAAGGTTGAAAGTAATGTATGTGACATTGCTTACTTTCTACCTTTCCTTTCTCATCTCCTTGTTATCTTCCATGTCCGGTTCTGTGGTTCCTACACTGATGCTTCCACTGAAATTGCTCTGGTCGGCTTACCAGGGCCATCGTAGTTACTAAATGACTGTCTTCTGTGGCTTCTCAGAAATGTTGACTAATCTTACTCTCTTGAAACACTCTCTTCCCTTGGCTTGCAAGAACCACACTTTGATTAATTCTTTCTAGCTCCGTGGACACTTCTCAGTCTCTGGAGTCTTCTCCGCTCCCTCGTCCCCATCCTAAAGTTGTTGGTACTGAGTTTTTGTTCTGGATCCTCTTCTTCTGTGCACCTTTGCTGCACAATCCCCTTTACATCCAAGTCATCAATAATCGTTTATATATTTAGGTATCCACCACACAATTTAGGTTCAAACAAACATACCCCAATCAGTGTCCACAGGGCACTGTTTGGGCACCACAAGTTGGTGCAGGAAATTCAGACGCCTGACCCATTCATCCCTCACTTCCCTAGCCTGGCCTTTGCTCCCCTCCTCTTCATGGGTCCTGGCGTCTCAGAGACCCAACTGGCCTCCTGAGGGGAAGTCCAATCCTGCCTGGCCCTATCTTGGTTTCTGCTGTCTGCTGAGCAGAGGCTGGGCCATACCCTCATGTCCACAGTGACCACTATTTATTGGGTAGAGGGTTATCTTTGAGAGTAGTTACTCTGTGAGTGTGGGTTTTCAACTTCTCAAGTTTCCACTGAAGGAAAGGGGCCTTCGTTCAAGTTGCACAAAGCTTGTAGGATTAAAACTCATTCCTCTTGCTCCCTCAGGTACTTCTTTAGGGCCCCAGGGTCAAAGCAGTAGGAAAAGAACTGGCGTTAGTCCTTTTTCTGCACACGAAATCTTTTGCCCAGATTTGTGGCTTTTGCCTCCTGATGTCCGCAACTTATGACATAATGTCATAAGGTCATGGTGGACCAGAGCAGCTGGATGCTGAAGTATCTTTGATGGCACAAGGCTACACAGATACACAGAAGCATTTGAGTCTTCCCTTGAGATGACTCAAGAAATGAGGTTATTCAGAACTGTAGGGGAAGCTTCAGTGGAAGACAGGTCCACATGGGGGACATACTGCCTGTGCTGGATAAGCTCAATCGGTTTGGATGTGGTGCCAGCCGCTGCATCCAAGGGTGCTAATGGGAACTATTTCTCAGAAGGTCTTGAAGTGGAGCAGCCCCATGTGTTAGAGCTCCAGAGACAGAGTGTGTGATCCTTCTCTCTTGATCCTTAAGTGTTAAAGATGTTACAGACTGGTTCACGTATTTGGCCAGTATCTAGGCCGGTTGCATGAGAGCTGGGCTGGGATAGGTCCCAGGCCCACAGCCGCTTCTGTGGTAGTCATTTATGGCATTTCCCAGGAAATTCTGGCTCTCTACTTCCCAGGCATATGATCTTACTGCACTCCTTGGCCCTCTTGTTACTGCATGGGGCCATGTGACTGTTCTGATCAATGACTTGAGCAGATGTGATGTGACTCACTTCCAGGCAAGAGCGTGTCATTGCTGCTTCTTTCTGGTACGCAGTGACAAGGTTAGAAATATGATTGCTTTGTCATTATAGGTACTGCTAACCCATAATGGACATGTAACAGGCATGAGAAATAGAACCTTTACTGCCATAAGCCATAGGCATTGTTCAGACTATTTGTTACCATAGCAGAAACTAGCTTATCTTGACTGATAATCTCTCCCATCAAAGCACATACTCTCTTGGATGGCATAGGCAGAGTTTAAAAGACATTTATTTTTATACAAAGGAGTTATTATCTCCCTCTAATAAGACAGTAAGGCTCACATTTATCTAAGTTAGGAACCAACCAAGATACTCTTCACCGAGCAAAGAAAATCTATGATAATTTTCTTTGTGTCCCAGAGCATGAAGCCATTGGCAATTTTCTCAAAAATAAATAGAAACATCTTGGGTAGGAAATGCTAGTAAATTATCTTACCTTGTCTCCAGCCCAGATCTCCCATGGGCTTCAGATATAATTTTCACTGCTTACTAGATATCTTCACTTGGATGTCCTACCTGCATCTCAAACTCAACACACACAAACTCATTGCTTTCACCCCAAAATATGTTTCTCTTACTCAGCTCTCTACCTCAGTAAATGCTTTCATCAACAGAAGGATGGAACCATCCATCAATGGAAGCATCTTTGACCCTTTTGTCTTCCTCTTCCCACACACTACATCTTTTGCCCAGATTTGTGGCTTTTGCATCCTGATGTCCCCACTATACTCTGTACTGGCCATCACTATTTTCTTCCTGGATCAATCTAAGCCTTTGAATGAGTTTTATTGTCCCTTGTGTTTTCTTTTTGATCCACACTTCACACTGTAGCCAAATGGATATTTCTACAAGTAGATCTGATCCAGAGTGATACGTCTACAAGCTGGCCTGATCAAAATATTACCTAGTTGAAATTACTTTCATAGTTCTTGGTTTTTAAAAATGCTATCTGTAAGCCCCTGATTTGGCTCTGCTTCCTTCTTGGACCAATGCTCCATAGTCAGCCACACAGAACATAACTGGGAGTCGCATACTTAAAACCCTAATCTCAACCTTATTCCTCCAGCTAAAACGTCCTGCTCCTCTTTTCTCGACTAATAATTTTGCTCACTTGTTTGTCCTTAGCATAGATCTTACTTCCTCTAGGAAGCCTTCTGTGACCCACCCAGGCAAGAATACATGGCCTTTTGCTCCCCTTACAATGGATTCTAGTGCTTATTTCTGTATAATTCTGTCATAATTTCCCATTTCTGCTAATTGCCCATCATTGAAATACTGTGCCAAGGGTTTACAAAGATATATCATTTCATCCTCACAACAATCTCTTGAGATGAATAATGTTCCCGTTTTTGAAATTTTTCTATCACTTTAGAACAACAAACAGAGATGCAAGGTAAGTGATTTAAATCACTAGTTCATGGTGAACACAAATAACTAGTTCATGGTAATGAGAGACTGAACCCCTAAGCTTGTGTCCAGCCTCGTGGGCTTAACCACTATGCTGTGCTACACAACTGTAGTGTGTTCAGACATGACCTATGTTGTCCATTGCTGCATCCCCAGCACTTAGCACAATGCCTGGTTCAGAACAGGTGCTCAGTGAGGTAGCTAAATAAATGAATAAAAGAAAGAATGAAAATCTGCCTGGAAAATGATAGGCACATAGTAAAGACTAGCTTTTATTAAAAAAAAAAAAACCAACAAAACCTCTTATAAGCAACAAAGCAGAAAAAAAGGGAAGAAAACCAGATAGCATCAGCTCATTTTCTAGGCAGAATATAGGAAATGTATCAGGAAAGCGTGGGGAAGCAGATAGTAGTTTCTGCATCTGCTTTTGAAGGAGGAGGCAGTTTCCACGAAGCTGGACTTGCTGAGCTCAGGGACTTGTTCTTGGCAGTTCAGGTTCTCTCTCCACCTTGAAAAACTGCTGCGTCAC